CCCCAAAACCCCAAAACCCCAAAACCCCGTGACAAATATTAGAGCTAAATATTCTAAATATTAAAAATACAATAAAACATGAAAAATCAGTTTTCGTATTAGTAGTAGCAAACTTAAAAAAGCCATCTTAGAGGAAATTCACTCAGTTAGTCATTCAACTATTAACCCAGCAAACCCACTAATAGTAGCTTTCAATCTTCTTCGTTTAAACTTTAAGATAAAAGCAAGGATCAAAGTGATTTCATCAGGAAGCTGAACTAGAAGTATGAATCAAATCAAGATAGCCCGATCACAAATGATAACACTGAGATGAAATGAAAATCAAGACAATAATTTAACTAAAATAGCTTCAATGATAAATTTGAGTAAACTGGCAAATCGGGTAGATCCAATTTTTAACTGAGTTTTACTCAGTAGAACTCGCCTACATCTTCGCAGGATTATAGTAAAAACAGCAACAGTAACAATACAAGTGAGATATAGACAGAAATAATAATGCTTAAGCACTTAAGGAATATGAGAATATAAGGTGAAAGTTAATAACCATAAAATCTTGATGGATAGAATACCAAGGCAGGGGTAGATAAAAAACGTAAAGTATCATTCAAATACCCAATTGATGCACTTATCATAGACCAGTTCAACATTCTAACAAAGCCTCATATTTTCAACAGGACTAGTCTCGGTATACTTCATAATAGTTAAAATATCCAGTAGAAACAATCAAATTAATAAGTGTAAAATATGAATAATAGTGGTGGCATAAGTAAAGCTGCGATTGAAAGTAAAGCATTAAAACAATCATTATTCAGAATAAATAACACTCAAATTAATGTAAAGCCAAATAATAGAAATGATAGCAATAATAGGACATCTCCAATTCAACATCCAACTAAATAATAATTGAAGAATAGAAGTTATAGAAACAGCAGTGTGATTTAGACTAGTGCTTAGATGGGTGAATTCATGTCTAAGAGAAGAATGCTATCTTAAAGTGAATTACAGTCACCAAAAAGCTCTTCTAGGGATCTTTAGAAATCTCAGACTCCTATAATTATTGATTCTTAGCCATCCTCGCCTGTATTTAACTAGAATCTAAGAATGAATTTCCACGGAAGAAAAGCCTCTGATATCAGATCTTAAGTAAGCTTAGGCACCTCTGCTAATTTGACTAGTGCAATGCTCCCTGAATTAATTCAAAACATCTGCAACTCAAAGAAAGACTTTACTCATTTTAGCGGTATTGTCTAGTAGTCTTAACACTTCGACATTTGAAACAGAGATAGTCATGCATTAAATGCTAACATTAATGAACTTTCCAATGAAAATATTCTTAGTCCACATTCCATCATTAATAAAACTTTCGGAGTCAACATGGGATTTACTAATGGATTTCATAAGATAATGTATGCAGATGACAGACTTAACAGTTAGGATTTGAAATTTCAAAGGCAAATTAGATAGATCCGAATTATGCAAGAAAAGGAAAAAAAGCGCTAAGAATATCTAGAGACACAAAGGAATAAAAGGTAATTAGTCATGGAATATCTCAAGCATAACAGTAAAAAATCAATCATCTAATTTTAATATTTTTAGTAACGGTTTCTCGAAAAGAATATTTACAATATTCTGACAAATAACTTGAAATCATTTTTAAGTAGAGATATAATGTGAAGAGAATGGATGAAGCAGCATAGATTATTTAAGATTTTTGGAAAATGAGCAAAGAGCGTAAAATACTTTTGGCAAAAATCAAGGTAAGAAGAAAAGCAAGTAGAAGAATACAGGAATTTTGGAGGAAAATCAAAATGCTTACTTTGATGCCTAGAGCACTTTAGTACCGAAAAAATTAGGCAGCTATTTCTATATAAAAATATCTAAAAGGATATATGTAAGAATTACATTGGAGTCACCATTTTTAGATAAAAAAGAAAGATTTAGGATTCTATTAAGATGCAAAGACTTCATCAAAATTTTGAATTCTTTAAGAAAATGAAGACAAAGATTGAAATAGAAGCAGCTATTACAGTCTAAAAATTTTGGAAAAATCACAAGGTATGTCTAGGTTTTTCTCATTTTCTAATGTTTTAAAAATATAATTTCTTTTTCAAACTTTTCAAACATGTAATTATTAGGAATAAATGAAGCCAACAGTAAAGTAGGAGATAAACTAGAATGCAGAGTCTGGTCAGTAAAAGATCAAGAATAAAAATGGCAAAGATAAGCAATCAACTAAGAATGCTCATCTGGCTCAGCAGCAACTTAAGCCTTAAAATGATAGTAATTATTTCTATATTTTATTAAATATCTACTATAGAAAAGCAAGGGAATAATTCCCAAGGATAAGTAACAAATGCCAAAAAAGTGTCCTAGGCTATACAAAATTATAAGAATCAAATAGTAAATACGAGCTAGTATGAAAATTGATTCCTAATTATAAAATTAATTTATAGGGATGATGGAAAAGCAGGAGCTAATCATAATAGAGATGTAAGAAAGGGATCCTAAACAAAGCAAGGATTTTACTAGGGACCTAATGAGATTAGCAGATAAACTTCTAATAATAGAACAATGAAGCAGATAAATTTACCATTTAAAGAGGATTAGACTTCGAATACAATAGCAGGAAATAAGACGAAGAAAAATTTTAACCCAAGCTAATTTTAAAATCTGGAGCAAATAAAATTGAGTGACTCCCAGGATTTGGACTCTGATCATTCAAAAATCAACGTGAATTTTGATTAGAATGGACAGAATTCAACTAAGCATTATGATTAGCTTTCTAAGTAGAGCTCAAATTTCAATCTTGTTATCAATCATGACCAGTCAATAGATTAATTCTTAAGTAGTGATCAAACTAAGAGGAAATCAAATGCTGGTGTTCCTGCTTTAGATTCAGAAAATTTAAAGCTACTAAGGATTTAGGAAGAATCTATAAGTCCCTCTCAGTCTGTTAATACAAAAAGATCCTAATTTGTGGTGAAAGATACTAGCAGATCAAGAAGTTATGCTGTTGAGAGTAACAGAGAAACAGTCTCTGATCTTATGATGAATGAAGATTCGAATGATTACCCAATCGAGCCAAATAGTCCATTCAAAAATATAACTACAAGTTAAAATCCCTTGCACTAGAAACTTTAAAAATCTATTCAACAAAAAATCATTAATGAGCTATAAAAACTCCAAAGATAAAAATAGAATACCAACAATAATAATCAAAATTATCTTGGAGATTAAAAGAACTCATAAATTTAGAATAATATGAGGAAAAGCTTTCTTAGTAAAGTTCATAAGACACCGATGGTTACTTCTGATCGAAGAGTATTCCAATAAAATTCTCTGCTTTAATAATTGGGTTCAGGGTTAGCAGCTGGAGTAAAAAGACTTCCAGAGCCTAAGCATTCTTTTGTTGGAATCCATGGTATAACTCAGCTTGGTCAATTGATTTAGCCAGGCACAAATGTGACCTAAAATAATTCTGCAAGGAATAACTAAGATTCAGGGAGAAGATTAGTTCATTAGATTCCTTCGAAAATCTCACTAAATAGAGCAGCACAAAGTTCAAAGTATGAAAAGTCTGAGGAATATTCTATAAGACTCTAACCAGTTAGCAGTTCTAAACTTAGTCCTTAGAAAAATAACACTAAAGTAACAATGCTTAAATTAGGAAAATTAGATGATGTAAGCAATTCAAAGTAAAGTTCCAATCAGAATTCAACTTAAAAGAAGGTAAAATAGAACAAGGGTTCTAAAGCAAAAGAGGAAACTAGTAACTCAGAGGATGAGGATTAGGAAAATTAAGATGAGGAATATGATAACAGTGATGAAGAAGAGGAAAATGAGCAGGAAGAGGAAGCAGAAGAGGAAGAAGAGGAGGAGTATGAATAAGAGGATTACACTAACTCTGCGAGAAACAAGACTAATTATACTTAAAATACTCAGAGATGATATCTCTAAGTAAATATTGAATATCTTTAACTATTTGAGAATATATATTTATTAAAGTAATTTAGGATTGCTACTATTTAATACAATAGACGGGGTTTTGGGGTTTTGGGGTTTTGGGGTTTTGGGG